AGCAAAATATTCAAAAAGAATCCAGTAGTCCGTAGCAGATCCACTCTGTTTCTCTGACCTTTCCCAACACCAAACCTACTCTGAGGTGATTATATCAACCTTTCCTTGTTGTGAAGAGGCCGTGAGCATCTGGGTTTAATGAGGAGCCCTGGCTGTCATATCTTTGAGTCTTGGGCACATGGGTCCCTGGGAAGGCGCAGATATCCTCTGTGTCTCTGGCTGTAGTGTCTCCTCCTCCTGGGGTCTACTTCTCACAGGTCTGAGCGGGAGATGCCTTCATACGTCTGGCCTTGTGGACCCTAGTTGGGAGCTCTCTTTCAGAATGCTGTCTCCTTGCCTTGTTCAAACCACACTGAATATCCCTATGGATTTTCCCATTTTTTAAAAAAGATATGTAGCATAGACATACACAAAACGTATACAGCTTGACAAACAGATACAGCACAGGCATCTATGTAGCCATTCCCAGGGTCAAAAAAGCCCGTGATCTAAATTCTTTATTTTTGAAAATAAATTTTTTTATTTAAAGAATTTCATGTGACTTAATACTCATTAAGGTCACTTTCATGAGGCTGTCTTCAGGGTAGTCCTTTTTAAAAGAACTGGCACTTAATCTAGTCATCCCCTCTGCCTTGCCATGGCTCTTCTATCTCCACTTGAATTATGGACAACGACAACCTCAGATAATGATTGTGGTCCTATATCCAATTTCTTCCGGCAATTTACATTTTTGGAGCCTAGAATTGGAATTGTGCACAGTATTTGTATTTAGGCACATGATCTAGATTCTGTATTATTCTCATTTGTAATATTGGAAGTCAACATTTTTCAAAGTATTAGGCCAAATATTACCGGCCTCCTTGTCACCACTGTAAATGTTCACTGTGATGGAAGCGTGACCTGGGTCTCAATTTTAGCCACACTGACCCACTCTGGACACCAGTCAACAGGGCCCATTCCAATCCAGAATGAGGCATTATGTGATCTAAATTTTAGATGCTTCCTGTTCTTGCTTTCTAATAGAAAGGGTCTGGGTTTAATGAAAAGCGTGTGCGTCACATCTGAATTCCAGGAATAAACTGTTGTATGTTCAGTGTGTGTTATATCAGTTTAATTTTGAGTTTGTTTCTTCAGCAATTTGAGCTTGATTTTACATCTATAAAGATCCTAGTATCTTTTTGTAGGAGGACAACGAATTTGTACATGTGAAGCATCTCGAGGTGCCTGCCGCTCATTGTAGCAGCAGTGTTTGTAGAGTGCTTGTTTTAATTTATGAAGAAGAAATACAGACATGAGCTATATTGCAGCCTTCACTGTGGGGAGGAAGACAGAGCTAGCTAAGGGAACAATGTTGGATGACGTGGCCCTCAGGTTCCTTTCAGCCACACGAGCAGATGTCTCTTTCCCATTCACCTGCAGGGAACCTTCTGGTCCCTCCAGATCTGAAGACAGGCAGTCTGCGGCCTGAGAAATGGGGGGGTGGGGAGCTGTTGATGCAAGTCCAGCTGAGCTGTGCAGACCTCAGACCCCAGGGTCAGGGAGGAGACGTGCCCCCAGCGGTGTCCTTGCCATCACCCTTGACTTTCTGAAAGGTCACTAGGCAGGGTTCACCTGAGAAAGAAAGCTCACGACGGTCCTGGACAGATTTGGCTTCTCCAGCCTGTTGATTTAGGAGATGCAGCTTCGCTCCTTGTTGCCTACAAGTGTTAACTTCACAGTTGCTCCTAAAACTTCTTCTCATCCCTGACTTTATGAACATTCAAATTAGTTTATGAGGAAGAAAGGAAACATTATGTGGTGTGGCGTGTGATTGTTTTCTCTCTGGTGTTTGGTGCTTATTTTTAGGGCTGCAGTAGGCCGTTAGTAACTCAGACTTTAAAAAAAATAAAGGGCGCGGCTTGTACAGCTCAGGTAGAGAAAAGGCTGAAAGCACTGTGACAGTGACTAACCATTGGGCTTGGGTGTGGGTTTTGTCTTGTTCATTCCTTTCCGAAGGCTACTCGTAGCACTGATGTATAAAAGCAGAAGGTAGAGTATTTTCAGCTAAAGAAAAAATCACATTAAATTTTTTATAGGCAAAATCATCAAACTACTCTATTCATTTGTGTGCTGTTTTAGGTCATTTTCTAACTTAAATAAAAATAGGCATGGAATTATGGAGGCTGGAGGAATGGCACATGATCCTGGCGGGGGGACCCCACTGAACAGAGGCAGGAAATAGAAATAGAATTTGTCTCATTTTGCTAAGCCATGGTGGCGCTGCCGTCTTGTACCACTGTCATTTACTGTCCTCGAAGGTGAGACGGAAGCCAGGGTTCTGGCCCTGGTGGTGTCGGTCGGCAGCTCTGGGACACTGGGAGTCACATTATATTTTCGTCCTTGGCTTCATTCTCTGGAAAACAATTTATGCTCTCACTTCCTCCTGAACTCTAGAATGCTGATTAGCTTCTCGGTGCTTACCCTAGCTCTGTCACCACCTGCTGAGTCTAAGTCCAGATGTACTGGGTTGTCTAAAATCAAGGTGTGTTGACACAGAAGTGTTCTGAGCAGGTGTCCCAAGTGAGTCATGGGGCGGGCGGCAGAGATGAATGGCTTAGTTGCTTTCTGCCTGCAGCTTACAGCTTACAGCCAGTCGGGGAGATAAGGCATCTATCTGCCCTGGTGACGTGGGTACAGGGTTGGTGCTGGTGGTCCACTTGAACTTCACCCCACCTCTGGGTGTTGTCTTTAAAGCATAAATTTAACCATGCCTCACCTTGCTTAGAAATTCCTTCTGGGCTCCTGTTCGCGGGCAGGAGAGAACCTAATCTCTTTAGGATCTGAGAGCCTTGGGGAGCTATCCCCCGTAACGCTGCACTGGCCTGTCCTCCTCTGTGGCCCTCTCTTGCCCACGCACACATCTCTAAGTTTCACCAGTGTTCTTCATCCTGCACTCTGATGTGAAGAATAAAGTCCCTCCGTGGGGTGCTAGCTTGTTCTGTCCTTCTCTCCTTCCAGCGCACTCCCCAATCTGTCCCTTCTTCTTTGGGAACTATGTATGGCCCTTCACACCTGGCTGGTGCCTTCTCTCTGCTGAGAATCATCCTTTGGAGGTGCCATCCCCCCCCCCAGCCCACCTGGGCTCCGCTTGTCCCCACACACCCGCATCCTTCAGTGAACCTCATGCCCGGCAGTGAGTGCTAGGCCGCGCTGCTGCGCACCAGGCTCCACACCTCCTCCCCCTGACAGCAAGGCCCTGGGAACGGGACCTGAGGGTTCCTCCCCCACTCTAGGCATTCCAGCACACCATCCTTCCTGTGGGTTTGTAGGTCCTGCTGTGGGTGCAGGCCCTGAGGGTGTGTGGAAAAGTTACCTGGGACAAACATCTGAGTCCAAGCTAAGAACTGCTGAGACCGCAGGAGTGACCTGAGCAGGGAAGGAGAAGCGTGGGCGCTGGGGCTGGGGACCCAGGGCTGGGGGAAGCCCCCAGGAGAACAGCTGGGGAAGATGAAGTCAACCAGGAAGAAGGGAGGTAACACAGGCAAGCTAGAGGCTCAGCGGTTCTGACCTCAGTCCCTGGAGGGAGCCAGAGAAGAGTGGCTGAGGTAGAGCCAGCTCAGGTTGAGGTTGTTCATTGTGTGGTGGAAATGTGGGCCTCTTACACTGATGTTCTTTGGTGGAAAGGATAACATTATTTGGTGCAGGCTTAGTGCTTATGAATTTTTTTTTAATATATATCTGGGGATTTTTGTGATTATTTTTTGAGACAAAGTCTCTGCTTTGTAGTCCCAGGCTGGCCTTAAACTCGCAGGGATCCTCCTGCCTCAGCCTGACAAGTGCTGGGACTGTAAGTGTGCACCATCAGGTGTGACAATGCTGCTGAATTTAATTAGGTTGTCTTCCCAAAGAAAAATGATGTAATTGAAGACTTTTACGTTTAGCATTCCTTACACTTCGAATTTTTGTCCTTGGGGAAAGTTGCCCAACCTGGTAAACAAAAAAGGGATTAAATCCCCTGCTGGGAAAGAAAAGAGCAAAGACCAAAACAGCAGATTAACAGATTAACAGAGTGGAAGCCATACACAGAAAGCGGCCACGGAGTTTCTGTGGGATTTGGTGGCTTACACAAACTCTTGAAAGTATGTCAGCCCCGAAGGAAGTTCTTGCCTCAGCACAGTCAGCCTGTGAGAAGGAAGCCGGGTGCACCACCACGGAAAGCAGTAACAATCACTGCCCGCTCAGGGGGAAGGGAACTTTTTGCTTTTTTAAAACATGGTAACCAACACACAAAAGATAGACTGGCAAAGACATTCAGATGATCCAGGTCTGAACAAAGCGCGGTGAGGTGCTTAAACAAAGGCTTTTTGTTTTGTTTTTGTGCCCAGAGCCAGTCTGCTGTCTCAGCGATTCTATTTTAACTCCTGATAAAGTCACTCGAGTGGCCTCTCCATTTCACTCGGTGCCGTGTAGAAACGCTACGTGGACCATCCTGGGGTGAGGGTTGTTATCGCTCCCCCTGCACTGGGCCACTGGAGCTGGTGCAGAAACTCTGCCTGCCGCCACTTGATACTGAGTAACCTTGGTGATGCTCCTCCATGGCCAGCCACAGAGCTGCTTTCTGATGTGAAATGAGATCGCTCCCAGCTGGCTGCGCCCGGTGGTGCCCAGCTAGCGCTCGCAAACCCGCTCTCGCCCGCGTCAATCACGGGCACTAGCAAGCGCCTGCCTTCATTTAAATCAGGTGCAGTTCCTCAGCTCTCCTAACTGAATTCGGGTATGTGACGAGAAGAAGTGTTAAAAATGGGTTTTCCATGAAGGCAAACGACCATTTAATAGTAATTTTTTCCATGGCCTGCTGTAAAAACCAAAACTGGTAGTTATCCAATAGCTTAAGTACTTAATTCCATTTTGTTAGGAATTAACCAGAGAGAGAGACAGACAGAGAGAGACAGAGAGAGAGAGAGAGAGAGAGAGAGAGAGAGAGAGAGAGAGAGAGAGATTAACCAAACTGGCCTTGTGAAAGAAAAAGTTCTTCTGTATAAGTGATATTTAATGTCACTGAGGGAAATACTGCTTCTGGGACAGAGGGAATAAGCCCTTTTCTGGTACTACCCTGTGTCAGCAAGTTCATTTCCAGCATGACTGCACTGGGGACCACAATTAGTAGTGTATTTTCTTCCTGTGACTCCACCTTCCCTATCCTTTATTTTACCAAATACAAAATGGTAGATTGAAATGAGAAGCCCTGGGCATTGTATTCTAATCATTTGCAGGTGGCCTGCTTGTTGTTTTTCTTTCTCCCTTGGCAGGGAAGCCTGACCATCTCAAAGGTGGTGTTCTGCCTCAGGTTCCCCTCTCTGCCACCCCACTCCTCCTCAGAACCTGTCCTCAGTTCTCCTGTGACCACCGTCCTGCTTGACCAGAAAGCCTCTGAGAGTTGCCCACACTGCAGTTCACTTTTTAGCTGTAGATGTGATTGGTTTCCCTGAATTTCCCCGGGCTAAATTTCTTGGGCTGGCCACACTGCCTGAGCACTGAGGATCAGTTTCAGCTTCTCATCCACCCCACCTCTCTGCCTCTGTCCTTTTACTTCTTGAACTTTCGAGAGTTTTTCCAGGGTCCATGTAACGGGAGGGCGTAGTATTATGTATTGATGCTGGTCCCAGCCCGAAGCCCTGAGAGTGTGATTTAGTACTGACAGAGCAGACCCCAGCTAGAGGGGAGGTCATGGGGCTCACTCGAGGTGGAAAGCGTGGCCTGGATACAGTACACTGGGTGTGTGAGGGGTCCCTCTGCTGCATCACGATCCTCACAAACACCCTTTTAATTCACTGCCAGCGAAACACAGGGACTCAATTATTCATTCATTTCGTGGGCACACAGAGCAACTGCCAGCCGTCCGCAGAGTCAGACCATGCAGTGCTCATTAACCAGGAGAAGGACTTTGGCTTTTACTTCCGATGCCTGAAAGCCATTGGAAGGACTGGTACTCAAGAG